CTTCCTCCTGGATTATGAGGAGTATATTGTGTGTGAGTATATTTGTCCAAGTGTGAAGTACACACTGGTTCAAAGACTTAGGCCACTAACTCAAAGCAAAAGCACAACTATTGTATAATTCCAGGTATTTTCCTGCAAGAAAGCTGTGACAGTATATTCATAGGGACTTCACCAGTTAAGCTCTTCATAACATGTGGCTGTCGGTTGTTTTGAGAAATGTGTTAGAAAAACCATGGGAACCATTGGAAAGCTGTTCCTGGAACCATCTTAAGAGCAGGGTCCTGGTTTTGGAAGGTGGGGGGTACTCTTCTGCTGAAGTCAGCTTCACAGTGCTCAGTTCTCTCAGGACCAAACACAAAGAGGGTGTATTTTTTGGATAACAAAGTGACATGGGAAGGACCGGCCCATACAAAAAATGTTACAGGCAGTGCATTTTTAGATGGTTCAGAAACGTGAATGATCTCTGAGGGACAGTTTAGAGGAACAGCTATTTTTGGCAAGGAAAAAGTGATTTTGACACAAGGGAAAACAAAGGTCTGAATCCCTAGTTGGTGTTAATTGGTGTGATGAATTTAGTGAAACTTTGAAGCATAAGTGTGCTCTGCTGGGTCATAAAGCCGTTGGCATAACATGACTTTTTTTTTCTTTTTGTCTCATGGTTTGTCAGACCCAAAGTATAGCATACATGAAATGAAGTATAACATATATATTTTGGTTTGTTTTTTTTTAAAAAGGTACTTTAACTTAAAGTATAATTAACTTAAATCAGTCTTACCAGACCAGTCCCCACAGAGTTCAGGACTTTTAAAGCAGCAGTGTCAGTAGAAGCAGTACTGAAGTAATCAAAGGTAAAGTAGTGCAATTAGCAGGTGAGGGCATTGTGCATTTCTACTGAGAGTATGCTCAGGCTCTCAGTAGCAGCAATGTAATACAAGCCAGTTGGGTAAGGAGTGTGCTGCTAACAGTTTTAAAAAGCCTTCATGAAGTCGTATCTTGCTCAGGTCTTATTATGCCCAACTGCTTAAACAAGAAGTGACACTGACTTTCAGAGGTGTTCTCAAGTCAGCTCACGTGGCCTTGGGCAGCAGCATTCTGGAACCACTCAGCTTCATTGTCACTTTTAAAGGAAAAGAGCTTATGGTTCCTGCCTGTGTTGCATAAAGAACACCTTGATAGAGTTCTGGCTAGCTGTAAAGCAGTGGGAGTCTGTCTGCACTTACATTACATCATCTTCAGCTGAAAATTAACATGGAAGTATGCAGGAGGGTTGCACAGGCACTCTTCAGCTGCTGCAGCAAGTATGTGGGCCTTTGTAATCTGTTCACTTGATATTATTGAGCAGCGCTTATGGTGATAGCGGCATCATGCTAGTAATTTTTGCTAGTTGATTGTTGGGTCTCCATTGAGTGGTGGGTGCAGAGGTAGCTGCATGGCGATGAAAGGAACAGTTTGATTTGTAAGATGGTACACGCAGAATAACATATATGTGCTGTCTGTATGTGTCTATATGTGCTTCGTTCAAGTACAACTGATAAACCTTAAAAAATGTAGTTGGCTAGATTTGTAGACTGGGATCTGTGGTATTTTTCTCTGCTTTGTTTCTTCCTTGCTTATGTTTCCTCAGGCATCTGTCAAGCTCCTTCCGTTTGAGAATGTTTTGGTGACCTTAGGACTGTCTCTGCTGCCGCTGCCGCCCGTGAGCCTCTGCTGCCCACGCTGGCGAGAGGCCAGCCCGCGGCTGGTGCAGCCCGTGGCCGCACCTTGGCCCTCAGCATCTCAGGTTTACATTTTTCAAAGAAGATTTAGAGAAACAGTTTCTCTGCTGTCACAAGCTAGCTCAGTTTGCAAACTGAGCAATACTGCCTGTATTTTCTTATTTTTTCCAGAAACAAATAGAATTTTTTGCATTTTTTGGTGACAGTTATTAACCACTGTTTCTGTGATAAGTAATGTTATGTAGTTGATCGGTTCAAGTGCATATGTAAGTGTTAGTAATATAATAAGTGGAAGAAGTGAATATATGGGTATTTTTCTTTCTAGATGATACATCAGCAGCCTAACCCAGGTATACATTATGAGTATATCATTCCAGGAGACAATGTCATTAGTCCTCAGTTGCTTGCTCACAGGAGGCCAGGTAAAATGCCACTATTTCTTATTACTAAACACCTTTTGTTACCCAATAAGCTAATGGAGAAATTCATAGCATTAAATTCAGTGTAAATGCTGCCATTGTTGTGGGAGAGGCCCAGAATTTCACCCTGTGTGTTGAAAGAGAAATCTGAATAGATTGGTAACTTCAGTGAATTCAGTGAATTGGCAGGAATTATTTATACTGTAGCAGGGGATCTAGTCACATATTTAGACTTTCAGTAACAATATTGTTGTTGGTAAAATGTTAACCATGGCTTCGCATGAGCTGTAGTGCTGTAACTATGTCTCAGAAATTAAATAGAACATTATTTTTGTCTTCAGAGTTTGAGGTAATTTTAAAAAAACCCTTCACAGTTTCTATTTCCTCTCACAACTGGAGAGGGTCAAACACACAACTGTTGCCTTCCCAAGATAGAATCTGGAGAGTTCGTGCTCCTGACTGAGCTGTGGGTATGGGCTGTGTGTACTAGTACGAAGTTCTGAAGGACAGTAGAAAATTTGCAAGCCAGTTTGGTCCTACTGTTAATGTTTGTGACTTGCCTTGACAAATTTCGAAGTGGGTTTGCAGTCTGTTTGTGACTGTGCAACATGGGGAGGCACAGAATACAGAGCATGGTACAAAAAAAAAAAAAAAGGCTTGGGGAAATGTTGGCACTGGGTGCATTAACTCTACAGCGTGTTTGGAGGTTCTTCAGTTTTTAATGTGTTTGCTGGCTGAGACTTGGTTATCTTAGTTTAAAACAACACAGTCTTTGCAAGACACTATTAGGAGGTCTCTGCAGAGCAGATTAAATCTGCTTTCAAGTTTAAGGATTTTCCAGTCGTGATTATTAGTGGATGAAAACATAGACTGCTACTTGCAAGTGAGGCTCATTGTTTTACCTTTTTGTATTTTCCATCATCAGGGGAGCCCTTGAACGGTCAGTTAGGAATACCAGAAAGTACAAACCATGAGGATGAGGATTTGCATAGGGAGACAGACACTCTCACTGGACAGTCAGCTGGAACTTTCCCAGTTATTCATCCAGGAAGATTTCCTTCTCATCAACCAGAAAACCAGGTGCCTGCTGTGCAACCACCAAGACAAAACCGAGAACACAACTGGAAACAGATTGGAAAAACTGAGTGCACTACTACATGTGGGAAAGGTAAGTGCTTCGTATACCGTGCGCAGGAAATAGATGACACACGGGAGGGTTCCAGTGTGGGAGCGGGGAAGCACGGAGGGAAGAAGCAGTGTGACTGTTCAGCAGCTCTTGTATGCACAAAGCATTGCTGGACCTGATATTTTCTGTTATCTTACAAGCAAAAGACATGTCAATACTATTATGTGTGTTTATTTTAAATTGGTAGAAAAAACAAAACTAAATATATTAAATAGAAAATATGTAAATTACAAGGGAATATATGGCATTTACCTCTGAAAGGAAATATTTCAGGATTTTATGGCAAGCTTCCCTCTCTCTCACACCCTTGAAACACAGCTGCTTTCCTCAACATTCTTTGGCATTCTTTATCCTTCCATTTGGCTTCTCCAGCTTTGTCAGATACCCTCTCAGTGCTTTTTGTGTCTTTGTCAACAGTTTTCTGATCTTTACGGGAAAGTTTCACAGGGATTGATCAGCCATATCTTTGCCTCATTAGATGTTGCTGGAACAGCAATAATGTGACTTCAGAAAACTGAGGTTTTCATAGGGGAGAAGTGGGGGGGAAGAGGGACAGAAAGGGACTGGTAATTAGTGAGCTTTTGGGATGTGAGGGATACACTACTTTTAGCTTGCCAGATTAATCTTTGCCATAACACATTCACAGTGACCACAGATTCAATAATGCATAGCACAAGCAATTATTGGGAAGAATAAGTTTTTGTGGTAGTAAAGGTGGAATCTTTCGTACTATACATCGTCACCCACCACCATACCTACAAAATCAGAGAGCTTTGAAATAAAGACGTACCAGTGAGGGAACTCCGCTGACTGTCAGAAGTTCATATACATTGAGAACAGTTGCTTCCTAATTATTTTGGGAGGACACCTTGTGAATTTGGTCCAAGGCCAGATGAGTGTCCATGTTATAGCTACAGATGGAGCTAAAAAAATTCAGCATTATTGACACCAGTGAAAATTGCTTCCCAGCATATTGAGAAAACTTTTTTCCTTAGAGGAGTTACTGCAGAAGTGTTAGAGGTAAAATGCAGCCAGAAGACTTTTTGAAGACTTTTTGTGGAGAAAAGGAGGGAAGGTAAACAAGAATTATTTTGATTAGCATTTAAATATGCTCTGTGTCTTTAATACAAGTCATATGGGCAGAATCCTTAATTGCACCTGATTATTCTTCGGCAGCAACGGGTGAGTATCACCTGCTGAGTGTCTAGATTATCGTATATGTGGTGAATTTTAGTATCCAAATCAGGTAATTTACGATGCCATTGCTGGAACACATCAGGCTAGATGTATTCTTCCTTTACATCATAGAAGTCTTGGCTGTATTTCCTATGGATCTTATGGGCATCGGAATGTAGTTCTTGCCATTTCTTCAGAGATCTGGTAGCTGTTGGCAGTGGTATTAATGAAATCTGAGTCAAAACTACGATACCAAAGTAGTAGGAAAACAGAATCCAAAAGATATCCTTCAGCCTCCTATACAGCGTAAATTTAGTCCGTGAAATTTAGCAAGAGAACTGTCAAAAATTAGTATCTCTTTTTCCTGATATTTGGAGAAAGTGTGCATGTTCTGGTCAAGTTAAATTCAAAAGGAACTGGTCCTTGGGAGCAGGATCCTAATACTGTTGAGACTGTATGAACATTCCTTGTGATCTTGGTGTGAGAAGCCTGTGTGAATCTGATGCCCCTAAGGCATTTCAAATCAAACTAGCTTATATAGGCTGATAAGAAATGGAGTGAAAAAAAATCAGAAATAAATCTTGATACTATTTAAGGCTTTGTTTTCATTTTGTATGGTTCCATACAGGACACTCTATTCTTTTTTCTTTTTTCCATGTTTTCCTTTTTTCTGCCGCTTTATATCTTCATGCAGAAATGTAGATGATACATGGTCTTTAATTTTTTTTTTTCTTTAATGTTAGGAATTTTTAAGTTGGAAGAAGGAAGACAAATTATTTTTGTGCTAGCTAAGGAAAAGGGGAGGATAAATTAACAGTTTTGATGAAAAACTGTGAGATTTCAAAGCACTTTTCAGTAAAACTTTGGCTTGGGAAAAAAAGACTATTACAATTTTTTTAAAAGTGAAAATGCTTCCCGTGCGAACTACTGCCAACTCTTGTCACAAATTTCCATTTAAGATGACTGAGTGAATAGATCTGCTAGAATCTGGACAGTGTGGAAACTGCTACTGCATCCTGCTGGAGAAGGAAGTAGCACATCATCCCTCAGTGTTGTCCAGAGAGAAGAGGGCTGGTGCACTGCAGATTCCTTACAGGAACTTTGTCCAAATTTTGTCTGAGAGATCTTACAGGAGGAGTACCTCACTTCATCTTCTCTGAGCACACCCTGTGCCTTAAAACTGGTGGTATCTACACCTTGGAAATTACTTGGAATATGTTAATTTGTTTTCAGTCATGGCAGCATGTTTGTTACTTCTTGAAAGAAGAATTATAAAGGAGGTTAAAGAGTGTAAACTGCTGATTTTTTCCTTCAATTTCAGAAAATATAATAGCTTTTCCTGAAGTATTAGCATAAGGTAGGTGGTGAGACACAAAGCCTTACTTTTGATAAAATTAAATTCTTGAACAAATACAACTTCAGTGGGAATTGTAATTTCAAATTTTCTATCCTGAAATTGAAGTGTGCCAGCCAGCAGTTACCATCAACTATGGCCACCCTTATTTTATTTAAAGTCATGATGTCATAATTTAGAGTTACTATAGGTAATATGTAATATGATAATACAATTTAAAAAATTATTTAGCTGTTACCATTAAATCTACAGAGGTTTTGAGCTCCAGGAGATAAAAAATGTGGAGCTAATTAACCACAGATCTTAGACCTAAGACTGCAAGTTCAAGTTGATCATTGGAAATGCAGAGCTGGAGAAAACTGATCTTCTGTGCAGTGGCCTAAGACTTGCAGTGTCAATAATGTTATGAATCCATGCCACTGACAGTGCAAGCTTTAGTAAACCCATATTTGGGATACGTAAGCTTTAACTGTTAGAACCTAGCCCTTTTCTGCAGTCTTTAGACACAAATATGGACAAAGATGCACCTGAGTTTTCTGTGCAAATTGCCTTGGCCGTGTAGGCAAGATGGGACTTCTTTTTGCCTTTGACTCAGAGGCATGGCAGTTTGGTTTCTGTAAATGTGCAGACAGATATTTTGATCTAAGGAAAAAGAGAAGTCTGTTTGCGGAAAGATTAGGCTATTGTACTCATAACTTGTTCCTTGCTTCTTCCTATATTGCCAGCAATACAGGAAAAAACGCATTTCTGTAATCTTTCTGATGCTTGGTCTTAGAGACACTGTTGTATAGGGTGCATTCCTGAGGTAGAGTGGTAGCTTTCCTAGATAGACATAGGTGTTTCAGACAAGAGCAGTGTGAGTGTAATCGATGAGAGTTCTGTTGAAAAAGTGCTTACTTTTAAACCACCTGAATTTTGGTTTTTTATCTTGTTCTATTTGTGATTGCAAACACTGAGAACTAGGCGTTTATGACCCTGTCTTCAGGTTGTACACTGTATTTCCCCAAATTCTGAAGTATATTGTTAATATCAAGGTTAGTCTGTGTATATGTCTAAAACTACAGCCTTATTCAGAACGACTGCACATCATCCATGCATTTCAAAGGCAAAATGACAAACATGAAATCTGAGCAAGAAAGCATTCCAGGAAAAGGTTGTGGGAAGAAGTGTAAACTGTGTATCTGCTTGTCTGGTTGAAGAGCATTATTGTGCTTATTTCATTCTGTGGAAGAAAGTTAGGTCTAACCTAAGCAAAACGTTTCTCTTACAGTTCAAAGTTCATTTTCCTGTTTGTGGTTTCTTTCTCTGTCTAAGTCTGAATATCTTCACTAATTAAGTCTTCAATACCAATAAATAATTAGTCATTTGGAGTTATTTGCTGTAGGATAGCCTAAAACAACTAAAAACACCCTATTTGTAAGTCAGTGGGTCTAGCTTCAAGTGGGTGAACGGGCACTTGTGGACTGTGCCTTGACCACTTCTCTTTTGTCTGAGCCCTGTTTCTCTTGCAATCGCACGGCTCCTATTACCATGGAGGTGTCCTGTGCCATTAGAGAGGAGGCATTGCTGCTGCTTTACGTGGTGTAAACATGGCAGGGAGAGAATCGGTAGGCTTTTGTGCTAGTTTCTAAAAAGAACTAAAAAGAAAAATTTTCCTAGTCTTCCTTTTGCTGTTCTATATTTTTATATACATATTATATACTATATATACTGTACATATACTATACTATATACTACTATATGTAGTATAGTATATATGTGTGTATGTATATACAAGTATATAGTGTGTGTGTGTGTATATATATATACACACACATACACTTGCAGAGTTGTATTTCACATCCTTTGCCAGATTCAACTGCAGGTGGGCCTTGCCTTTCCTAACCCCACCCCTGCACTATCAGACAGCATCCCTGAACCCCTCTGGGATCACCTGCCCCTGCTTACACCTTTTCATGTCTAAGTTTACTTAGGAGCTCCTTGCTTATCCATGCAGGCCTCCTGCCACCTTTGCTTGATTTCCTACTTACTGAGACAGACCTTTCTTGAGCTTGGAGGAGGTGGAGGACGTGGTCTTTGAATATCAACCAACTCTTCTGGACCCCTCTTCTCTCTAGGGCTTTATCCCGTGGGATTCTTCCAGGCAGATCTCTGAAGAGGTTTGGGTCTGCTCTTCTGAAATTCAGGGTTGTGGTCCTGCTTTTTTCCCTGCTCCGTTCTCTTAGAATCCTGAACTCTACCATTTCATGGTCACTACAGTCAAAGCTGCCCCTGACTTTCACATCCCTGACTTTTTCTTCCTTGCTTTTATGTATCAGGTCTAGCAGAGCACCTTTTCTGGTTGGATCCTCGACTGCCTGTGTCAGGAAACTTGTTAATGTACTCCAACTTTTCACTTAACAAATACAAGTAGGCATGTTAGCCACCTTGCTCTTTGTCATCATTTCAGTAGTCAATTTGCAGCAGTAATAGAAGTAGAGTTCTGTTTTTCTGCTCTAGCATGAAAATTATTTAAAGATCAAGCATTAAATATGGAGAGTAGTAACTTCTAGTGAGTCTGTAGCCTACAGTAATGTTTAGCCTGTAAGCTTTTATCTCATAAGTCTTTTAAAAAAACAGGTAAAGTGGATAATATTCTCATGTGTTTACTCACCACATAACTCTGAAATAAGGAGGGTCAGTCTCTTTCCAGAAGCACAAAAGAATTGCTGCTAAATTTTTCCTCCTCTCAAGCATGTGTTGTGGCCACTTGGCTTCATTTTTTTAAAATGAAAGACCAAGGAGGATGTTTTCTCAGCCTTTCCTACAGTGCCATGCTGTACTTTCTATATACTAAGGACTTCCTTTAACACTACAATGTAAACAGTATAACATTCAGCTCTCACATTTGGAAATTTTGGATATAATCTTAGTCTGTATCTCCTGTTGTTAATGTTACGCTTTTCCTTTCTGCATCAGTGTTAGATACTACTGTTACGGCTTATACTGCAGAGTCTTTTGCAATGCATCGCCTAATTTTCTTCTTCATTTCAGGGTCACAGTACCCAGTTTTCCACTGCGTCAACAGAGTCACTCATGAGGAGGTATCTGAGAGTTACTGTGACAGCAACACCAAACCTATTCCAGAAGAGGAGGCCTGCAACCTCTTCCCATGTCCAGCTTTGTAAGATATTACCATTTAAGTCAAGTGAAATAAGCCAATATCATTGAGGTTTTGCATGTGAAATAGGCTATTCCAAGTAGGAAACTAGTTTGAACTTCTAAGTACTACACACTTGTGTCATAAAGTATAGTGGATATTTTTTCCTTAGTTGGTCATGGCCTTCTTCCCCTTCACAGGGAGCCATAACATTCAGGGAAGGCAAAAGGGAAGTTGGCAACAAGTAGATGTAGTAATTTCTCAAAATATGTGTGATTGTTCAGATATGCACACTACACATGGTCTCTCTATGGGTACGTTTTTTCAAGTGACAGGCTTCTGCATATACGTGTCTAAAGGAGGCTCTGTAGGTTATATCACTCCATACTGGATCGTGTGCTGTAGTACCCACCTGTTCATTCCATGGTGTCATATTCAACGATGAGATTAGGCTGATAGTGCTCACAACAGCCCCTTCCTAAACATCACCTCTCTTTCCTGCAATTCAGTAGTTCTTCAACTCGAAGACTGGATTCTGAAGTAATAGTCCTTGTTTCAAGCACACTAATACAGCCAGTTCAGGTCTGAAAAGACACTTGCCATCAGGAGACTGTGATTTAGAATTGCCTAAGCAACTTCTTCTAAATAATGTGTGTGTGTGTATGTGTATATAAAAAAAAAAGTCAGTTCATCCAGGGTGTATACCAAGAAGAGAAAAGAGTTAAACCCAGTTGCTTTTATAGCAACTTTATTTCGGGTCAGCAGCTGTATTTTCCATCTCTCCTGGTTACATTCTTCAGTTCCCTTCTGAGCAGCAAGTGGCCACTCCTTATCCCACAGAAGTTTCTAACGGTGTAAGTGCTGCTAACAGTGTTAGAGATGCTGGACAAGCAACTTCCTAGTGCATATTAGATACTCGGGAACTTCTGAAGCCGTTTACTGATGGGTGTCTTCTTTCACCAAGCATTTTTCTCACCTTTTTCTTTCTAACAACTCATACTAATTCAGCTTCATTTGTTTACACAGGATAATATCAAGAGTATAAACAAAGATGTGTAAATATTTATTTAAAAGAATACAGAGATTTTGCTTGCTCTCCAGAAGAATTCTGAAATAAAATGTGTAAACAGTTCAGATACTTCCCTATTTGTGTATGTCTTCATGCTTGAAATGAAAATGACATGTTTATACAAAAGTGATTAAATAAATACAGTGAAATCTTGGAATGAGAAGAACATATATAGGATTTTTTTTTCATCTCCAAAATTAAATGTATTTATTCATTGCTTATAATTTGCTATTTCCGTTTTACTGATGAACGAACGCCTGGATGCAGTATGTAATTTCTGTGGTATTGTCCTTTTTAGTCTTTGCTGCAGAAAAATTTTATATAACCCATCTTAAATTTTTAGGAGCTGTCATTAGAGCAATAATATATATTATAGATAAATTCTTTAAAAAAACAAACAGCTATTAGTGGCTTAATGTTTGTAACGTGTCTTGAAACCGTGAATTGTGCAATCTGTATGCATGCTTATTGTTATCAACCACTACAAGTAGATCGGTTACAAGTATACAATGTTGTCTTCATAAAGGGTTTAGTTACGCATGTGGAGGCTTAAGTGTTATTTTATAAAATTCTGTACCAGCGTCAGAATCATGTAATTTGAGTTCTGTTAAGGTTAGTATTAGAAAAATCATTACTGAAAAAATACCTTCTCTTTTTTTTTTTTCTTTTTTTTTTTTTTTTTTTTTAAATAATTGCGAAAAAAAACCCTTTTTTTTTTTTTTTTTTTTTTTTTTTTTTTTTTTTTTTTTCTTTAGCTGGGATATAGGGGAGTGGTCTGAGTGCAGCAAAACATGTGGTCTTGGTATGCAGCATCGACAGATCTTATGCCGGCAAATGTATGCCAACCGTACCTTGACAGTTCAGCAGTACCGCTGTCATCACCTGGAGAAACCAGAGACAACCAGCACTTGCCAGCTGAAGATCTGCAGTGAATGGCAGATTAGGACAGAGTGGACTTCAGTAAGTAAGATTGATTAATGTGGGGCATAAAACTTGAGAAAATAATTTTCTTCCAGGTATCACTAATCCAACATGAAATTTGTTTTTGTTTACAACAGGGAAGTGGAATGTGAAAAGCCTTGGAAATATGTGAATCTTAGTTAAAGAAAACCCTGCTCGATTGTGGCCATTAAAGTTTACTGTTCGTAACCAGGAAGGAGCTGAAAAAGAGCGATTGAATAGTACAAAACATGCAGATGCGTGTGTACAGAAGTACACAAGCTTTCTGAGCAATGCCTTTTTTAAATACTATATGAAGTAGAGCTGTGAGAGTCCTGATAGGTTTACCTGTACTGCTCTTTCTCATGGCATGTAGAGTTTAGTTCCGGGAGTTATTTATGTATGTATTAAGGGTCGGTAGTTGCTGTTACTGTAGTTGGTTTGAGGCTATGCCGAGATTTTCAGGTAAATGTGGACAGTACAGTTTTAAGCTTCAATTTCTGTGTTGCTTACAAAAGGTTTGGCCAACGTGACAACTATCCTAGATACTGTTATGGCCTTTGTGTGAAAGAGAAAATATCATGGTGTTTTAGGTGTAGTGATAAACAAATGTCTTCGTTAGCCATTAAAAAAAAAAACAAAAAAATTTTGGAGTTGCCGAATTATGTGGGTGAATAGACCGTTAAAAATGTCAGCTTAAGCTCTGAACCTAAACCTTCTTTTTCCTTTCTACTGAAGCGCTTCCTTGCTCCTAGTTCCCCCAGCCTGTGCTGGAATGGATGTTGCAGCACACAGTGTGTTGTGCGTGGACCACCACTGGAAGTATTCAAAAAAACGCGTGGATGTGGCACTTCAGGATGTGGTTTAGCGGGCATGGTGGTGTTGGGTTGATGGTTGGACTTGATGATCCTAAAGGTCTTTTCCAACCTTAATGATTCTGTGTGATTCTGCATGTGACTAGCTGCACTGGCCGTAGCAGCACAGCCTTCCATGCACATGGTCACAGTAGACTAAAGAGTCATGCAGCAGACTTTGTGTAGCTTTATAGTGGGTCTTCCCTCATGGTAAAGCCTGTGTGAGTTAACTCCCTCAGTTGTTGCATTTCTGAGGCAGAAATGGTAACTTCCTAGTCATGAAATATCTGTGATACATGGATATAGTCTTGATTAAAAAATACCTAGACAGTGGAGTGTAAGGATATATTGGTTAACTCATTATTCATGATGAACTAAAATCCATCTAGAGTTAAAGGACAGTAAAATTTATATTAGAGATAAAGTTTTTATTATTTTATTGTGTTGGTAATAAGAAAGGGGAGCTGGTTTTGTGTTCTATTGCATTTTGAGAAGTATTTCAGTGTACAGAGCCTTTAGAGGTTTACTGCCTATGGTGAATCAAGCTAAACAAATGCTTTAGAAATTGTAGCTGGTTGAACATAAGCGTAATTCCAATAAAATTCGGTGATTGATTTCCTCTTGGAAGTAAAATGAAAGTTCTTGGCATGAGAAAGATCCATCATAAAGAAAGAAGCAATTAACTTTGCAAACTGGTTTCAGTAGAACCTTTATTTTTGTTTGCGCTTACTGAAGGTTTTCACTTTGGAAACAGGTCTGTGATCTTGAAAGTAAGTCCATCTTAAGATTTTAATGTGCTTATCATTTTTTTCTGAGATACAAATGTCAAAAACATTGATCTAAATCTGATTAGAAAAAATGGCATTGTGGTAATTTAAAGTTTGGAGTCAGCAGACTAGACTTCGAGAGTAACTCTGGACAAATTGCCCTGCTTATGACATAACGAATGGGGTATTTGTTTTCATTAGTATTTTGCTATTTAATGATCTCACACATCTAGTTTGGGTTTTGGTCAGTGTTCTAGAGTGAACAGTTGATGAAATAGCTGCAGTCTGAAGATGAAGTCTGTGAAGTATCTTGCTGGTAGGGAATACATTTTACATGGTAAAGAGATTTGATGTGTAAATATGGTAGATGTTTAAGTATTCAAAAGCAAGTTAAAAGCAATGAGGCTGCCTTTGGAAGCTTTGCTAGGTACCCTTGTATGCAGGTACTGTAGTCTTTAATCTTCAAATTCCCAGAGATTTCCCCTTTAATTCTAGAGTGTTTACAGGACTCATAAAAACATTTCATGCTTACACAGCATAAAATTATGTTTCCATGTTGCTTCATGATCTGGATGCTTCACATCATCAGGCAGAAATATCAATTACTGTCAGCATTCTCTGAGGTTGAAGAAGAGAGAGCAGGAGAAGGCCTTGACTTGTAAGAGGGATTCAGAAGTTGTGTTTCTTTGCGTTTCTCTTGCTTCATATCTACTTGTAGGTCAAGATCAGAATTATGCATAATAATGTCAGCAGTTCGTTTGATAAGGTGCAGCATGGCTTGTTGAAGATAGGGTTTAATTTTATGTTTTCAAATGTATCTGCATAATATTACTGTAGAATACTACAGGCTGAGAATATGATTTAAAACTACTAGTGTGTTTTTTATTCCCTGTTCTTAGCAATCTAGAGTAGTTCTATTGGAATGAGTGAGTTGTACGTTCCCAGCTCCCTGATGAACCTCTGCAGTTCTTGCATAGAGTCCTGATGCAACCTCCCTTTTATTACAGTGTTCAGTGCCTTGCGGAGTGGGGCAGAGGACCCGAGATGTGAAATGTGTCAGCAACCTTGGAGACATTGTTGATGATGAGGAATGTAACATGAAGCTGCGGCCAAATGATATTGAGAACTGCGACATGGGTCCCTGTGCTAAGAGCTGGTTCCTTACAGAGTGGAGTGACAGGGTAAGGCTTCTCATTATCTCTGTGCTGCCAAATCTTCTAAAACAACATAGATGCATCAAAATTTTAAAATATACATCTGTACAACCATAAACAGAGTGATCTTATTTTTCATGTTTATCCTTGATCTGTTAAACAGGCAAGAGCAAACAAAAAAATAAAGATCCCACGGGCATCTTGAGTTTGTTTTAGATACAAGAATGCATGGAAAGGGCAAGCCTGTGGGTACATGGCCAAACATCTGGATTTAGAATTGGCTCTGTGTCTGAACTTCCCAAAATATTGAGTGTGCTGAGATTTATTACTCTGCCTTGCTTAGACCTGAGTCTCAAGATTCAGACTCTAAAAGTTTCCCTACTGTTTTTTTAAGGGATGGAGGTTTGAGGCCTGATGTCTTTGCTTAAGTTCAAACCATAAAACAATTATTCTATAGCTGTGAAAAGAGGGGAACAACTTTATAAACTCAGGCAAGGTTGATACAGGCTTTTGTACTTTGTGAGCATGGATGTATTTTTTTTTAATTTCAATGAGTCAGATTCTCCACATGAAAGCCATAAAAACAGTGGTGATTTACCTTGTTTCATGATTGGGCTCAGAGTTCTTGTTCAGTAGCAATATTTATATGCTTTCATTAAAAGGCTTACAAACATGGGCAAAGAAGAGACTGGCATTTCGGTCCCTCTTGTGGATGCTTGCATATCAATTTCATCCATACACAAGTTGAGCCTTCAGCCTGTAAAATCCTGATCGCATCTCCCTTTTCTTCGGTTGTTTTGGCAGGCAAATAATATAATTTATTGTTGAAGCTGTAAGATTACATTCATAACTTCACGGATTCATAATTCAGATCACTTTGTGGTTGTATCTCTGAAAGCTAGGAAAGTCTGGCTCATAGGTTATGCATTAGTTTGGACACTCAGAAGATTTTCCACGTGTTTTAGATGCAGAGGAGGAGAAACAATTTCACAAGTAGAACAGGTTCCTGGTATGTCACTTAATTTTTAAAAGGCTGATCAGACTCCTGCAAAATTTTCAGCCTCCAGACAACGCAGATTTTCGAAAGAAGAAGAAATTACACATTAATAAATCTTTGTTGTTGTCATTTGAACTTTTTTTTCCAGTTGTTATTCACTCAGTGTACGTTCTTGCATAGCATAGGCAGAAAGTTACCAGGTAAACTATAGGTATTGGTGCAAATGGCAAAATTTTTGCTGTAGATGAAATGGCAGTGCCTTTTTTGTTTCTTTTTTAGCTTGTAGAGCTGTTCTTTGTACAGTGCTATTACAGTGATACTTTACAAGTAAGAAGGAAAAATGCATTCTACCCTCAAAGACATCTTGAAAAATGTGGCCCAACTACTACTATCAGCTAGTGCAGTTCCACCACATAAAGCACATAAATTCCAGTGAAGACTCTAGCACCAATGTTTTCTTCATTATTCTGCACTGATGTTTTGTCCTCTGCAGAATTAAAAAGTTTTTGTAGCTGAAGGTTATGACTGTAGAATGTTATTATGCTTATTTATATGTATTAAATGAGACATAAAAGTGAAGCAGGTAATGTGGAAAATGTTGGAGTTTTTTCTTACCACAGACGTTTTAGGGTCAGAGAGTAAAGAATGGATTTTGTTACCTTCTCAGCTTATATAAGTGTACAAATTAATTTATTCCAAATGCTTGCTACTGTAGTTGGCATTATTCACCATCACTTCTGCCAGCAGTGGGCTTGGAGTTTGATTCACAAAGAGAATGGAAGGAACAGCTTATTTCAGGAAAAAAGGATATCCGGGCTAGAATATGCAGGATCTTTTGAGGTTCTCACATACCTTAGGACTCGGATGTTCAGCGACATTTAGTGGCAGTGATTCCAGTGGAAGTCAGTGGAATACAGGAGTAGTCAATAGCTTTGCAAAGACAGGCCTTTGGCCATTAGCTTTCTTATCGTGCCTTTCAAGGGATGTTTTTCAGGATCAGAAGTCTCTCTTTGTAGAGGAGTGTGTTTCTATTGAAAGACAACAGGAGAATTCTGTCACGGAATGGAAATGGGCATTCCCAGGTGTATGGACTTCGCATGTGTAATTTCCCCAAACAATTCTTTAAAAAGTACTTTAAGCCAAGCCGCACTTCAGCAATAAGCATAGATCTGCGATGGGCAGCCACAAATGGTTCAGATAAGCAGCCAAAAGTTCAAATGCTTAAAGAAAGCTTGTTCAAACCTCTTGAGTCTGCAGAACTGTGGTAGAAATCACACAAGAACAGACCTTCTTTGTGAGATTTATTACATGCCTACTTCAAGTCCCAGCTGGAAATACCACAGAACAGTCTTTCCCATTATATTTTGACATTTCAGCTGTGGCTTATTTCTAAGAGGCAAAAGAACTTACCATAACTTTTGAGAGCATTGGAACTTTGAAATGATTGAGTTCGAACTTGGTTACAGCCGTAAGAGAAGACCTGGCCTGTACTTTCCTGAACCCATTTTGCAAACACTTAATGTGTACTGTTGCACATGCAGCAAGTAGAGATTTCCAGAGGCCTGTCAGAGATTGGTTAGGCACATACTTTCTCTTTCAGCAAGGGATATATCAAACTTCCATGTCCAGATTTATGTGATGCATGGGGCATTGCAATACAGCCTTGGTTAATTAGCAAAACACCAAGAAAAAGCACAGTAACATAAAAATTATACAATTGTCTTTGCTGCCAACAGATGTTACATTTCAGGATTTGATATATATTTGTGCATAATTTGACAAGGGTATTCTCTAGCACAGGGAGAGTAAGAGATGAATAGTCATGTCTGAGTTTTAAGAAAAGGACAGGATGTAATTTAGGATTGGTAGAAAGATACTGGGTTTTCTTATTTTACTGAAACCTTGTAAAGTTTTAATTGGTGCAAAATCATGCCAATTGCCTTCATTTTCATTAATAGTTCGGTGGTTCTGAATTGGAGGTTTATATAATTAAATTTCCCTAAATGTAACTTCTACAATACAACATAACATGCACGTAAAAACCTGCAGAGAACATACAGAGTTGTGTATAGGAGCTGCATCTCCTTCCCAGGGTGAGCCATATGTAGCTTTACTCCGTAAATAATACTTGGCTGCCTTCTTGCCATGTTCTCCTGTCTTGTTTTCCCACAAAATATAT